CGGATGGATGTCTTTACTCCTTCCGCCCCCGCCAACCACCCCAGCCACCTTCCCGTTTGTTCTGCACTTGGCAGTTGCCCTCTCGCCCGGTTATTGCACACGCTGTGCCCGACTTGGCATCTCGGGCATCTGGTCTCCTCGGGGAGGGCAGGCCGGGTGAGGAGGAGAGGCCTGATTGGCTGGGCCGGAGGTGGGACGAGCAGTGACGCGCCGAGCCGGGGAGACTGCGCCGCGGGGTGCGCGGGGCGCCGGGGGCGGGGCGGAAGGGGGGCAGACCGGGAGAAGGGCGGGGTGGGGGGAGAGGGGGACGGGGACGGGATGGAGAAGAGGCGAGACGGGGGCGGGGGCGAGAGGAGAGCAGGGTAGGGGGGAGACTGGGCAGAGGGTGGAGGAGAGGGGGAACCAGGTGGGGAGGGGAGAGAGTGACCCGGTGGACGCGCAGGGGAGGGAAGGAGGGGCGGGTGCGAAGAGGGAGGAGGGCCTAGGTGGGGAGGGGGCACGGGGATGGGGCGCCTGCCTGGGGCCGTGGCGGAGATCTGATCCCGGCCTGTCCCACCCCTGTCCAGGCGAGGACGGTGTCCCTGGTGAATCATCACTGGTCCAGGAGGGGAGGAGACGGGGCCTGAGCTGCTGGGGAGGGGGCGCGGAGAGGGAGGGGCCGGCGGGGGCGCCAGGCCGGGGGCGGGTTTGCAGCCGTCCTCGCAGCCTGGGCTCCGCGCACCGCTGCGCCGCCGGGAGGTTTCCGGTCACAGCAGGTCTCCGGGCTTTTGGGTTCTTCCCTGGCCGGCCGTTCTCACAGCCGCCGCCCTTCCCTCCCTTGGCGGCTGCCCCAAGCGGGAGGGGAGGGAGGTCGTGTCCCCGGCGCTGGCCGGCGGGCCGAGGCGTGGGCGCTGTTAGTGGCCGGCCGCGGGACCTCCCGGTGTATTGGGTGCGGTTGTGGGCTGTAGAACTGGAGTATAGGGTAACCAGGAGGACCCCAGAGAAGGGTAGCTGTAGGTTTTTGTCTTTTTGTTTTGTTTCGTTTTGACCATACCTGGGGCTTCTGGGATCTTAGTGTCCTGACCAGGGATTGAACCTGAGCCCCTTGCTTCGGAAGTTCCAAGTCTTAACCCCTTGGACCACCAGGGAAGTCTCACGGGGGTGTGACCTCAGGGTTGTGAGCCTCAGGGCGGAGAAGGTTGGGGCTTTGAAAAATGCAAGATGTCTGGCCAGTGGAGATGTGGGCTCCTCAGGCCGAGGAAGCAAGGTGATGGGGGCCCCGGCCTGCGGGGGTCCAGGGCCGGAGGAGTGGGAGGCGAGCTGGAAGGCCCCGCCCTCCCAGAGCCTGCAGCGTGACCGCTGGTAGCCTTTCTGAGCTACTTGATAACTTAGTCCTTTTCCCTCCTGGAAGGAGAAGAAAGTGAACTTACGAGGCGTTGCGGGACACTTGACAAACAGAGCTAAGAGCCACATAGAGTTCAACAGAATAGATCAGTTCAGTTCAGTTCAGTCGCTCAATCCTGTCCGACTCTTTGCGACCCCATGAATCACAGCACGCCAGGCCTCCCTGTCCATCACCAACTCCTGTAATTTACTCAAACTCATGTCCATCGAGTTGGTGATGCCATCCAACCATCTCATCCTCTGCCGTCCCCTTCTCTTCCTGTCCCCAATCCCTCCCCAAACAGAGTAGGTATATAAGAGTCAAACAGAAGAGACGCCTGACCTGAACTACCATCTTTGCTTCTCCAGCTGTCTTTTTTGTTTTAAGCTAAAGGACTTGTCCCCTTCTCCCCCACCATCTTAGTTCCCCAACCAGGGACTGAACCTGTGTCTCCTGCAGTGGAAGCACAGAATCTTACCCACAGGACCACAGGGAAGTCCATCATCTGCTTCTCAGATGCACATCCCTTAGAACTGTGGTCTTGTTGCAGAAAAAGAAAAAAAAGAGAGGAATGAATTTTTCTCTTTTCCCTCTCCTGAGAACAAAGAAGATAAACAAAACAGTGAGCAGACTTGAACATTCCTAGTTTTTTTTTACTTTAACTGCTTCTAACTCTTCATGTCTATAACCAAGTATGCTTTTGTGCCCCCTAACTCTGCATGAGCTACACTTGGCACCTATTTTCCTTTGACTCTATGCTAAATACATCCTGTACTTTGTGTTTAGCCTTACAACACCCTTCCCCTTGTAGTTAAATATCTGAAAGGCCACAGAACTGCCAGACTCAATTACTGGGTTACTGATGCCAGCCTATGACTGTCTTTGAAACAGTGCAAGAAGAAAATCGAGATCTTAGTACCTTTGTTCCTCATCACGGATTCCTGACTGTGAGCCCTCATCTTATATAAGCCCCTCGTCTCCTCATGGAGGGGGTAGGGCACAGTTCTTGAGGCATAAGCCTACTGTGTTCCCCTCTCTGCCAGCTGAGAATTAAAGCCACCTTTCTATTTCCTCCAAATGTATTTTTCATTTGACTTCGGTGAGCAGAGAAGGCCAAGATTTTGGCCAGCAACAGTCTCAACTTGTTTAGTCTTTGTTAGGGATTGTCATGTAGCACAGCAGAGGGAGTTTGCTGGTACCGATTGCATCAGAATGGACAGACACACAGACACACACATTTGGTGGCTTTATCTCTCTCACAGGTATACAGAACCATCTGGATTATCTTCAGCCAGAATGCCTTGATTTGCCATCTGTGCCGGCGTCAGGATCCAACATAACAGGGCCTGAGAAGTGGGATCCCAGAACCGTCACTGATGAGCCCTGGGCAAAACTTGTGGCACCAGCAGGTCCCGTGTCCATGAGAACGCACAGGGCAGAGTACCTGCCTGAAGCCCCACAGCTTGTGGGTGGGGCGTCGTGGAATTGTGACCTCGCTGAGTCATGGAGGGGTTGGGAATGCCCTGGCAAGGTGCTTCCATGACTCAGTCTCTCCACCTGTATCCCAGGAGGGAGAATCCTTGCTGTTTAGTTTCCCTGAGGGTAGGTGCAGCCTTTAAATAGCTCCTCCCACGTCCAGACAGCTGTGGGTGGGGCGGTCATGTTTGTGGCATGGGAGTGGGTGCAGCCTCCCAATGAGATCAGTGCCCTGGCACAGCTGAAGCAACACAGAGGAGCCTGGCAGGCAGGGTGGCACCCCCAGAGGGAGGGGAAGAGGAAGGTGCAGAGATGTGGTGGACTTGGCAGAGAGAGATGTCATGACTCTGGGGCTCCCCAAGGGCAGGGCAGGCTGCGTGAATGCCTGGACACTCGTCAGGGCAGGTGAAGCTTGCCCCTGTGGGACCAGGATTTAGGAAGCAGCTTGAGTGATGGAACAGTCAGGCTAAGCCACAGAGTGTGGCCATAAATGCAAATAAATGTGCACCCTCTCTCCTAAGAGTGGTAGTCGCCCAGCTGTCCTGAACCTGGCTTCCACCTTTGTTCCCTTCTCCAGATGAGCCCTGGGCTTCCCCCGTGGCTCATATGGTAAAAAATCTGCCTGCAGTGCAGAAGACCCAGGTTCAATCCCTGGGTTGGGAAGACCCCCTGGAGAAGGGAATGGCAACCCACTCCAGTATTCTTGCCTGAGGAATCCCATGGACAGAGGAGCCTGGAGGGCTACAGACCATGGGGTCGCATGGACACGACTGAGTGACTAACGCACACCAGGTGGGCCCTGCTTTGATGACAGGCTCATTCATGGAGGTCCATCTTCCTGCAGAGATTTACATAATGGGAGGCTGAGCAGGCTTTGCTTGAGTCAGCTCTTAATGTTACTGAAACACCCAGTGAACTCTAGAGGCAACTTTGAGTGAGTAGAGTGGCTTGTGAGATCCCTCTTTATTCACATAGCACAACAGAGGGATTTTTATTCTGCCTGGTAGGTTCTGGAGTCAAGAGTGCCTGCATGCAAACCCTGGCTCTGTCATTTGCTAGCTGAGTGACCATGGGCAAGTTAATGAACTGCTCTGTGTTTTTGTTTTGTTTTGTTTTGTGGGGTGAGGAGTCTCATGGTACCTAATTAAGGGTTATTTAACAATTAAATGAGATAATGCTTAAAAGCACCTGGCCCGGGGTAAGCACAGAAAAGGTTAGCTATTAATGTTGTTATTATTTCGTGGGAAGGGAGGTAGTGAGTGTTTCCTCAGATGTCTCAGAGGAAAGAATTTCTCGGAGCAGCCTCGACTATGCCTCCCACTGAGTATCTTGTGACTGACCCAGAGACCTCAGGGAGCTGAGCCTCCCGTGGGACAGCAAGCAGAGGCAAGGGTGACAAATTAAAGCAGGAGAAGTGTTTTCCTCATTCTTGGATGGGATCCAAAGAGATCAGTTTCTTAACTGACTCCTGGCATTAGAATGCCGTGAGTGGCACCCACAGGACAAGTGATACCAGTCTATCTGAGTTGGCGTGCAGTTTGGGATTCACTCACTCCATCCATTTGGCTGTCAGTGTCACATATTTATTAAATGCTTGTTATGTGTCAGACACTGTTGCAGGCAATGGTATGTAACCATTAAAATGCAACTAACTAAAAATATATTTAAAAATTTAAAATGCAATTAATGAGGCACTCAGATATCTGTATACCCGTGTTCAAAGCAGCATTATTAACAATAGCCAAAAGTTGGAAGAAGCCCAAGTGTACACTGATGGATGAGTGAAGAAGCAAAATGTGGTATTTACATACAAAAGAATACTATTCAGCCTTAAAAAGAGGGAAATGTTGTCATATCTTCAACATGGATGAACTTGAAGACATTACATCAAGTGAAATGTGTGATTTTGGTGTAATGCACAAAACGAAATGTATGATTCATTTGAGGTACCTAGGGTAGTCAGATTCATAGAAACAGAAAGCAGAATATTGGTTTCCATGGGGCTGGAAGGAGTGGGGAGAAATGAGGAATTAGTTTTTAATGCTACAGAGTTTCAGTCTGGGATGATGACAAAAGTTCTGGAGGTGGATGGTGGTGATGACTATAAAACAATGTGAATGTATTTAATGCCCACTGAACTGTTTACGTAAAAACAGTTAAAATGGTAAAGCTTCGCTCACTCAGTTGCTTCAGTTGTGTCCAACTCTTTGTCACCTTATGGACGGTAACCCATCAGGCTCCTCTGTCCATGGGATTCTCCAGGCAAGAGTACTGGAGTGGGTTGCCATGCCCTTCCGCAGGGGGCCTTGCTGACCCAGGGACTGAACCTGGCCTCCTGCACTGCAGGCGGATTCCTTACTGTCTGAGCCACCGGGGGGAGCCTCAGTCAGTCAGCGGGTGCCTGCACAGGAGAGGAGGGTTGGAGAAGGCAGCAGGAAGGACAACAGAGGGCAACAAAGAAATCTGAAAGGCTGACAGATAAATTTGTTATCTTGATTGTGGTGATTCTTTCATGGGTGTGTACATGTCAGAGCTAATCAAATTACATACTTAAATATGTGCAGTTTATTGTATGCCAACTATACATTAATAAAACTGGTAAAGCCAGTTTTTAAAAAATTGTAATGCAGACAAAGAATGCAATAAAGGGCAGGAAGATGAAAATCACAGGGTTCTGTGGAGCACAGGGTAAGGTCAAAGGACAAATACCTGTTGTCAGGCAAAGCGTGGGATTGTGGATGATGTTTCACACTCAGGAAGAAATGGGTGCAAAGACTACAGGCAGGAAGGAGCCCGGGCCGAGATTCTGCGTGGCTGGAACTCAGGCCATAGGGGGCAGTAGAGAGACATGAGGTAAGAGAGCATAGCAGAGAACCAACTAAGACCGTAGATTTTATCCGAGTCAATGGAGAATGAATGACCAGTGGCAAACAGGGGGTTGTCATAGGTGCCGGTTTAGAAAGATGCTCTGGCTGCAACTTGGGAAATGAGCTGGGGAGGAAGCAGAGCGCAGGCAGGAATCCAGGTATTAGGTAAGCAGGGGTGAGGATGTTTGACTGCTGGAGAGTTACCCAAGTCAAGAGCTATTGGGCTATGTCACTTCTCATCAACTTTTCAACACCATGGAGAGTTAGGGAACTTTATCTCAGCTTTACGGAAGAGGAAACAGACTTGAAGCAGTTAAGTAATTTGGTTACACAGCACCAGAGAATGAGATCTGGGGTTTCCAGTTTGTTGGCTTCTGATTCCAAAGTCCATAATACTCACAAGCTTCTCTCTAATTTAGATAAAAGACCTCTGGGATGACTCTCCCCTCTCCCACTTCTTGATTTTCTCACCCACTCTGTGGTTTGTTCCATGAATGTCTTCCCTTGGGAGGAGGCAGAGAGCCATGGGAACACATAACAAAGGATGTGATGTCCTCCAGGCAGTCAGAAAAGGAAGACTTCCTGGAGGAAGCAACATTGTAGTTAGCCCGGAAGGCAACTACAAATAGGCAACTATTTGAAGGCAACGGAAGGACTAGTAAATGAACAAGCTGGGAGAGTGGGGCATAAGGAGGAGGTGTTCTAGAATGGAGGGAAGAACAAGTGGGAATTATCTATAGCATCGCTGAAGCTGTGCAGAATGCCTGAGTGCTGGCATGAGATGCAGAGAGAGGCATATTGATAGATTTTTAGCTGTGTGTAGCAACTTAGAGAATGGGGCGAATGGGAGGGAGACCAGTAGGGTGGGCCCTGTTGATTTGATGATGAGAACCTGCTCACCAGGCATTTGCTTCTTCTGGTTACCATGGAAACATTAGACCGCAGACCCAGAAGCCTCTAGTCAGCCTGCTTATTAAAGATGATGAGACTGAGTTCAAGGTGGGGAAGAGGTTTGTTGCTAGCTTTCCTACTGGCAGTGTGGAAACTTTTTTTAAAAAAATGTATGTTTAGTGATAAAATATACATAACATAAATGTATCATTTTAGTCATTTTAAGTATATGGTTCAGTGGTAGTACATACATCCACAATATGTTGAAACCATCACCATTTATCTTCAGAAAATTTTCATCATCCCCAACTGAAGCTCTGTACCCATTCTTTTTTTTTTATTTTTAAAAAATATTTATTTACTTGGCCACACTGGGTCTTAGTTGCGGCATGCAAGATCTAGTTCCCTGACCAAGGATGGAACCTGGGACCCTTGCATTGGGAGGGTCCACTGCACCACCAGTTAAGTTCCTGTACCCATTCTTATAACTCTCATTTTCCCTTCCCCCTGCTCTTGGTAACTAGTATTCTACTTTCTGTCTCTCTGAATTCTGGGTAACTCATGTAAGTGGAATCATGCAATATTTGTCTTTTTGTGACTGGCTTATTTCACTTAGCGTAATGTCTTCAAGGTTTATCCTTATTGTAGCATGTATCGGCTTTCCCTTCCTTTGTAAGGCTGAATAGTATTTCATCCTGTGTCTACATCACACTGTTTATCCATCCATCTATTGATGGATATTTGCATTGCTCCATCTTTTGACTATTGTAATTAAGACTGCTATGAATGCAGGTATGCTGGAAACCTCCTTTGTAGACATAGATTATTGGTTTTGAGTGAAGAAGACAGACTTTTGATGATGAGTTCTGAGTAAAAAAATGGAGATTAGGGGCTTCCTTGATGGTCCGGTGCTAAGATGCTAGGCTGTCAATGCAGGCAGCCTGGGTTCTATCCCTGGTCTGGGAACTAGATCCCACATGCCGCAACTAAGAGTTCGCATGCCACAGCTGGAGGTCCCACGTGCCACACTAAACAAATGTGGTGTATAAACACAATGGAATCATATTCAGCCTTAAGAAGAAAATCTTGTCATGTGTTATAACATGGATGAAACTTGAGGATACAGTTAAGTGAAATTAACCTGTCAAAAAGGCTTTTGCTATATGATTCCACTTAAATGAGGTACCTAGAGTGGTCAGATATAGACAGACAGTAGAATGGGAGTTACCTGGAGTGGGGAGAGGGGAGAAAAGGGGAGTTGTTTAATGGCTACAGAGTTTCAGATTCACAGGCTGAAAAAATTCTGGAGACCCTATATCACAACAATGTGAATATGCTTCCCACCACCAAACCCTGTCCTTAAAAGTGGTTAAGATGATACATTTTATGTGCTTTTCACCACAATTAAAAAAAAAAAACAACCTGCTGGATCAATTGACTAAATCTGTCCTCTGCACCCTGGCTTTCAAGGCCCTCTCACTCGCTCTCTCTGTTGACCTCACCTGGGCATTCCCGGAGAAGTCTTATCTCCCGGCCTTGGCATCCTCTGCTCCCTCTGGCCAGAAGACTGATGCTCTCTTCTGCTTGCTCTGCTGATACCCTTCCTGTGCTTTAAGATCCCACGTCCAGTGCTCCATGATGCTATTTCTTTTTTTTTTTTTCTTTGAAAAGGTTTTGTTATATTTTGTCAAATAGAAAATAGGTCTGAAGTTACATTGAATATTAATAAAGTATTTAGTGGTGCATATTTTAGTGATTGAATTTAAGAATTCAGATAGTAAACCATGATCAGCTCAGTTCAGTTTAGTTCAGTCACTCAGTCATGTCCGACTCTTTGCGACCCCATGAATTGCAGCACGCTAGGCCTTCATGTCCATCGAGTCGGTGATACCATCCAGCCATCTCATCCTCTGTCATCCGCTTCTCCTCCTGCCCCTAGTCCCTCCCTGCATCAGGGTCTTTTCCAATGAGTCAGCTCTTCACATGAGGTGGCCAAAGTATTGGAGTTTCAGCCTCAGCATCAGTCCTTCCAATGAACACCCAGTACTAATCTTCTTCAGGATGGACTGGTTAGATCTCCTTGCAGTCCAAGGGACTCTCAAGAGTCTTCTCCAACACCACAGTTCAAAAGGACCATGATGCTATTTCTGAGCACAGTACACGCTGCTGGTACTCCCCCTACGGCCCCAGTAGGAGGTGTTTGCATGCATTGCTGCCTTAGCTCCCTTGTGGTTGGTGTTCAGCCGCCCAGTGTCCGACTCTTTGCACCCCCATGGACCGAAGCACACCAGCTTCCCCTGTCCTTCACCGTCTCTCAGAATTTGCTCAGACTTGTGTTCATTGAGTCGGTGATGCCAACCAACCATCTCATCCTCTGACTAGGCTCAATTCCTGAGTGTGGAGAGGACCGTGTTTGTTCCTGCTCCTAGCACAGAGTGGTCCCACCAGCAGTAGATGGCTGCTGGCTTGGGGTAGGGGTCTCCTTGTTCCCCCATGAGGCTGTTTGTTTGTTTCTTTTTTTTCAAAAATATATTTTCGTTTTGGCTGTGATGGGTCTTCATCGCTGCTCGGGCTTTTCTGTAGGTGCCACGAGCAGGGGCTCCTCTCCACTTGTGCGGTGGCGCCTCATGTTGTGGAGCACAGACTCTGTAGCATGCAGGCTTCAGTAGTTGCGGCTCCCAGACTCTAGAGTACAGGCTCAATAGTTGTGGCTCACGGGGTTTGGTTGCTCCGCAGCATGTGGCATCTTCCCGTACCAGGAATTGAATCTGTGTCTCCTGCCTTGGCAGGTGGATTCTTTACCACTGAGCCACCACGGAAGCCCCATGAGGCCGTTTCTGACTCTCTTTCTCTGTCTGTTCCAGCCTTGGGAGCTGATCTAATCCCTTTTCTGGCCCATGAGTTTTCGAAGAACAGAGCTTAGAGTTTATTCTTTGCAAGGCCCACAGTGCCTTGCCCAGTGCCTGGCTTGGAGGGGCTGTGTGGATGTTTGATGGTTATAAACATAGGCCAGGATTCCTAGCTGCAGGCTTCGTTGCCTCTGTCCCTGATGGGAAGCATGAAGGAACTTTCTCCTGCCCTGTATGAATTGTGGACTCTGGGTCTTCACTGTCCTGCTGCTCCAGCATTTCTTTGTTGTGGAACAAGTACAGCTAGCTGCCAAGACTGCAGAGAGAAGGGATGAGGGACTTTCTCAGCCATTGCAAATGATTGTCCTTGTAGACTCTAGCACCACCAGCCAAAGTCCTTTTCATTAGACCAGACAGGTTGGCTTTAGGCTGGCCGGGCTTCCTGTCACCCATGGTCTCTCTGTGTAAAGTCTCAGCTGGATTTGGCAGAGCTGGCAATCCCAGGGGATGTGGCCGGCCCACTCTGGTTGATTTGTACGTTGGCAGTCTGTTTGTGTGCCCATCTACAAGCCCAGCAGCTTCCCATCCTGTCTGCCCTGTCCTCGGTTCCTTGGCAGTGGAGGTGGCTCCTCATGGAAACCACACTGCCTTGTACACCAAGCAGCAGTCTGAGTTAGGTCTGGGTTTATCTGGAATAGTTAAGATGATCATTATTTTATTCGCTGGAATGGAGATGAAGTGCTAAATGTAACAGTTAAAGGTCACATAAAGGTTGTATCCTTGTAAAAATCTTTCCTGTAAATTCACTAATTTACAAAATCCTTTGGACAGCCACTTGCTCTTATTTTTGTGTTGTGTGA